GTAAAGCAAAGCATCAAGTCCTTCCGTCTCGGTCTGTATAATAATCTGGCCGCAATAATCATATATTGAAATAATCTGGGATATCTTTGTTTCATTAGTCCAGAAAATAAAAGTTCTAGCTCCTATTGAATCTTGATCTTTAAATTCTTCTATATCCAAGTAGAAAAACCTGGACTGTCCAATCCTGTAGAAGTCCACTCTAAAGGAAGCCCCGTGGGAAAAGTAGCCTTGGAGAAATATATTTGGGGTGATTGATTGATTAAAATGCCATCCAATTATTTTTGACTCCAAGTGACCACATAAGATGGACCTTCTCCGGATGATCTGCTCTTAACTTGGTCCTTCAGGTCTTCCAATGGTGCCTCTATCACCACTTAGAGTTGCTTCAGGTTTCTGGCTATTGTCTTCTTCTCCGTCATCACCATCATCAAGAGACTTCTCCAGGGAGATAGGTCTTCAAGCCATGGGTCTAAAATATTTTGAGCCTGGTCATTTGTGCCTCATGGGAGAACCCTTTGCTGGTTTATTCAATGATCCATTGTTCTCTTGGCTGTCTAAGGTCTTCTGAGCGGTCTTCTCCAAGAGACGACTTCAACAAATAAATGCTTGTCCACGGAGAACTTTGTTTATTCAATGATCCATTGTTTTCTTGGCTGTCTCTTAGGGTCTTCCGAGGGGGTCTTCTTACGACTTCAAAAAAACAAATGCTTTTCGGATCCCGTGATCAGATAAACCGTAGGAAATTCCATCAAATCAGAACGCTTTTCTTGGAACAAATCCTTCCTCGGAACCTTTTGTTTTTCCATGCTGCCAAGTTTTCCATTCCATCGAGTAAAGCTCTCCTGGCCGCAATTTGCACAGCACATTAAACCTGGTTAGATTCTGGTGGCTTAGCAGAACCCACTCATTGGATGCCAGGGGACAATTCGGAAAAGCAATAATTAAATACACCAGTCAGAATTTGCCCCAAGAAGAAGCAGCAAATGGAACAATGGTCACCGTTTTGTCCTGGGCAACGTCCGGTAGCTCAGATTTCTGACCCAGTTGAGGTTCATCAAGAAGATCTTTCTGGGATCTGTCTATCATCTATCTATCTATCTATCTATCTATCTATCTATCTATCTATCTATCTATCTATCTATCTATCTATCTATCTATGTCTTTGTGTCTATCTTATCTATCTTATCTATCTATTTATCTATCTATTGTCCATCTATCTGTCTGTCTTTCTGTTTCTAGCTAATATCTATCTATCTATCTATCTATCTATCTATCTATCTATCTATCTATCTATCTATCTATCTATCATCTCTGTCTATCTCTATCTCTTATGTCTATGTCTGTCTATCTTTATCTATCTATCTATCTATCTATCTATCTATCTATCTATCTATCTATCTATCTATCTATCATCTCTGTCTATCTCTATCTCTTATGTCTATGTCTGTCTATCTTTATCTATCTATCTATCTATCTATCTATCTATCTATCTATCATCTCTGTCTATCTCTATCTCTTATGTCTATGTCTGTCTATCTTTATCTATCTATCTATCTATCTATCTATCTATCTATCTATCTATCTATCTATCTATCTATCTATCTATCTATCTATCTATCTACTGTATCTATCTTTATCATCTATTATCCTATCATACCTCTCTATTATATCTCTTATATATTATCTGTCTGTCTGTCTGTCTGTCTGTCTGTCTGTCTGTCTCTCTCTCTCTCTCTCTCTCTCTCTCTCTCTCTCTCTCTCTCTCATCATCTTATATTGAAAAATAATTTTAGTGGCAAATGAGCTTCAACAATAACTCAATATTTAGTCACCCAAACAGATAAACAGAATTGCCATTGGTGGGCAACACAGCCTGTTTCCTGCTGGCTTCTCCATTGACGTTCCTTGTGGGGAACCAGCAGGGAGCATCGGAAACCAGGATCCGTGGGGACACTGCGACAGCCACAACTTGGCAGATAATTTATGAACAATGCAGGAACTTCAATTCTACAGGAGTCGTGGGCCCCGGATTTTTTTTTTTTTATGTATTCTTTTATGGAACGATTTTAGGAAACCTGGATCCAAACCTTGTTGTGGCATCACACCCCATCTGCGCTAACGTGAGGTTACAAACAGACAAACAGACTGGAGCGTTATGGGTAGCATGCAGATGACCACTTGATAGCTCATTCGGTTTTCCGTTCTTGCAACCCTTTTCCAGACTACCGAGTGTGGGGGGGAAATATTGAATTTGCAGACCCAGCTGGGCTACTGCAATAGCTCTACATGGGATTAGCCTTGAAGATTTCCTGAAAGCTACAGCAACTCGGAGTTACGACTGCTTCTCCTACGTTTCCTTAGCGCGGTGGAATGAATTATGATTAAGTAGACGTTATGATGGTTTGTTTTCGCTCCGGTTACATCTCTGGAGCTGAGCTTAGAGGAAGCCCCAGATGGGAGCCGCACAGAAGCCGCCATAACAAATAGCTCAATTAATAAATCAAGGTTTTTCCCGTTCAAGTTTTCACAGCCCTGCTTGCAGATGGTGAGGATTGAATCTGGACCACCTGCAATCTTAAAAAGAAGGAGGGGGAAAAAAAAACCCTGTTAGAGTCTAAAAATAAAATAAACAGCCGGCAACTTTTGTTTGCAAACAAACGGAAATATCTCCAGCCGCTTCTCCTAAACAGAAGTTTGTTTATTTCTTTCTAAGAATCTCAAAAGATGTTTTGCCACAGATATATTTCCGTGGGCTGCCAGACTTGGATGCTGAGATTATCTGAGATTTCTAGTTATCCAAAACTTTCCCACGGACAAAAACGTGTGGACGAAAACAGAGGTGTGTGTGTGTAAATCGCCGCATGAGAATATTAACAATAATTAAAAGTCTGGCTACAGGTCATAGGAAAAATTTATAAGAAGGCCAAATCTGACAATAGTGAGGTATTATGGGTTGTAGAAGGCCATCTTCAGCAAATGTCTTAGTTGTCCATACTGGTGGAAGAAAAATCAAGGATCTGTGAGAACTTGTATTTTAGGGCTGGTGGAAAATCTGTCTGGCAGCCAAATATCTTTTTATCAGCTCCAGGAAAGGTTTTTTTTGGGGGGGGAAAGCAGATAGATCTGGAGCTACAGAAAATCAAAGAAAACGAGGCGCCCGGAGGCAGGTCTGCCTCTCCCCGAAAATATTTAAAAACACATCAGCAGAGAAGAGCATTTATCTGCCAAAACTTGGGAAAAAAGGAAAGTCATCCAAGCCACGGGAGACACTGGCGTTTTTCTCCCCTGAATGTTTGCCAGCTCTTCCATTTGCTGGAGACCCCGTTACTTATTTTATTTTATTTTTTAAAAAAAGAGAAATAACTAAATTCATCTTCAAAGAGATCCGATCAGATATGAAGACGGAGGATGCTTCTATGTGCCATAATACAGAACATTCTTCCCACCCACCCCCACCCTAAAAAAAAAAAAATCCAGCCCCCCAGGAATATGATCCAGTTGCAAGTGTCAGATTGGGACAGACCCTCACGGTCCCCCCACCCACCCTGGAGCCGAGACCTTGATTGTTGATAAAGTCTATTTGATAAAGTCTTCTTTTTCCAGAAGGACAGCCACTTGTCTTGAGATGGTCTAGGTTCTCCTGCTTGAGCAGGGGGCTGGACTAGAAGACCTCCAAGGTCCCTTCCAACTCTGTTCTGATTGATTGATTGATTGATTGATTGAAATGGTCTAGGCTCTCCTGCTTGAACAGGGGGTTGGGCTAGAAGACCTCCAAGGTCCCTTCCAACTCTGTTCTGATTCTATTCTACATTTGTCTGTTGATAAACTCTTATTTTCCCAGAAGGATGAGTGCTGCTAGTCCTCAAGGTATGGCCACAATTGAAGTTAGTTGTTAAGCGAATCCCGCTTCCCCTTTGACATTGCTTCAGAAAGTTGCAAAAGGGAGAGTAAGCAGTATTAGATTAGAGGAAAAAAAATCAGAAAAAGGGGGGGGGGAACAGGAGGGGTTTTTTTTTGTTTACCCCCCTTTTTTTCCAAAGCTGTTTGGGGGGGGAACGTTTTTTTCCCCCATTTTTCCCCCAGGCCTTCCTATCTCTAAGTGGCATATAAGTCTAACTATGTGGATGGGCAGACAAGGAGAGGTCCAGCGTCCCCTTGGGAGAGCTGCCCCTAGTGCGAAAGATGCCAGAACAGGTTTCGCCTTGCGAGCGATGAGCTGGAATTGAGCCGTTCCGATTGGCGGATTTATTTATTTTTTAAAAAATATATATATCTCCTTGCACGTTGGAAACCCACTTGCTCCTGGCAATGTGGTGGTGGTGGGGGGGGGAACCTTTGCGAGCAGAGATGACAGAAAATAGCCTTTTGGCCTGCTCGGAATTATATTTAGGATTTATTTTATTTATTTAAAAAAAAAAGAAGAGACCGAAAGAAAGAAAATGTAGGTCAAATGTGGATTTGAAAAACATCTCCTTAACTGGAAGCTTGGAAAGTGTGTGTGTGTGTGTGTGAGCTGTTTCGGGGCTGGCACAAGGGTTCGTTTAGTGACGGTTCGAAGTGACAACGACACTGAAGATCGTTGTTCCACACTTACGACCGTTGCAGCATTTCCCCCCCCCCGTGGTCACGTGATCAAAATTCAGACAGTGGGCCACTGACTCGTCTTTACGACGGCCGCAGCGTCCCCTTTTGCGACCTCCTGGCAAGCAGATTCACTTAACGTCCATGTTAGGAACTGCAGCGGTGGGGCGAGAAAAGTCGTAAAAAACGGGGCGAAGCTGATTTAGCAGATTTTCTCACATAGCGACACAGATTTGGGGGGTCCGTTGCGGCCGTACCCCGAGGACCACCTGTACGCTGACTTTGAGGCCTTGAAATATTTTTGGCCCTGTTTCAGACATTTGCAAAGCCAGGAACGTTTTAGCTAAAGGGGGAAGTAGGGGGTGAAACGATGGGATTAACCAGGTTTGTTTGTTGTCTCTTTGCCTGCAGAAACCTTGATGGACTCCACCACGGCGACGGCCGAGCTCGGCTGGACGGTGCACCCGGTGTCAGGGGTGAGTTTGGGTTGGGGTGAGGTGGGGGCTCAAAAGCCAGCAGCACCTAAGGAAGGGGCCTTGGGGGTTGGCTTGGGACAGGCTTCCGAAAACAAAGGCTGTTGGGAAGGAAAACGTTTTGGGATCCATCCGTTTAGGGACGAGCTTTCCAAATACGCAGTTTTGGGAGACGGCCAAGCAAAATGGCAAAGATGTTCCACAATTGATTTGAGTGGTAAATTCTTTTCTCCCTTCCTTCCTTCCTTCCTTCCTTCCTTCCTTCCTTCCTCCTGCCCTCCCTTCCTCCTCTTTCTTTCTTTCTTTCTTTCTTTCTTTTTTCTTTCTTTTCTTTCTTTATTCCTTCCTCCCTACCATTCCTCTCTTCCCTCCCTCCTTCCTTCCTCCCTCCCTCACTCCATCCCTCTCTTCTTTCTTTCTTTCCTTTTTTCTTTCCTTCCTCCTTCCCTCCTACCATTCCTCTCTTCCCTCCCTCTTCCTTCCTTCCTTCCTTCCTTCCTTCCTTCCTTCCTTCCTTCCTCTTTCTTTCTTTCTTTCTTTCTTTCTTTCTTTCTTTCTTTCTTTCTTTCTTTCTTTCTTTCTTTCTTTCCTCCCTTTCCTTCCCTCCCATCCAATCCTTCCCCTTTCCCTCCCTCCCTCCCTCCTTTTTCTCCCTCCCTCCCTCCCTCTCGTCCAATCCTTCCCTCCCTTCCTCTTTCCCTCCCTCTGTTCTTCCTTCCTTCCTTCCTCCCTCCCTCCTTTTTCTCCCTCTCTCCTTCCCTCCTCACTCAACCTGGGATCTCTGGCACAGCTGGGCTGTGCCATCAAGCAGGAGGCAACCGACAGGCAGAGGAGAAACACACCGCATACAAATCCATGTAATTTTGTGTGCCTTAAACAACCCTCTCCCCAAACCAATTTCAGAGCCCTCCCCGAAAATATACAAGGGGGGGGGAAGAGAGAGAGAAAAAGACAGCAATCACCGTTCCCTGCTCGTTTTTTAAATTGCATCACGGAAAAGAAAAAAAAAAAACCTCTTGGCAATTTTCTCTTGGAACGCCATAAACTCCTGGAATAATTCCGATAAGGCTGACAGCGCTAATGAATGCAATTAGTTGATTAATTAACTTCGCAGCAGATTTTTTTAAAAAATACGGCGCTTAACGGAGGCGGGGGTCTCTGCGAGAGAAGGGTGCAAGGGAAATCAGGGTGAGGGGGGGAAAAATCACTTTTTATTCCCGACGGTTTGGGATATTAACACAGAAAACACAGAGCGGTGTGTATTTAGGACAAGGTTGGCTGCTGGCTTCCTTGGAGCTGAGTGATCATTAACCCCAGTTTATGATTCCAGGGTGATTTTCTACCAATTTCTTTGTCCCTGAGATGACCCACCGGATCAGGGAGAATCCCTTCCCAGCAGTTTAATTCCTACGAATAAAATACTCTGGATCCCACCATTTTGAACACAAGGCCAGGCGCAGTGCAAGCGGCAGGATCAAAATTACCCCCCAATAGTTTTAAAACACTGGCGATATGAAATGCAAATTGAATAGCAGAAGGACAGAGTTGGAAGGGGCCTTGGAGGTCTTCTAGTCCAGCCCCCTGCTCAAGCTGGAGACACTTTCATACAGAATAACAGAATAACAGAATAGTAGAGTTGGAAGGGACCTCAGAGGTCATCTAGCCCAACCCCCTGCTCAGCCAGGAAACCCTATACCATTCCTGGCAAATAGATAGGTAGGTAGGTAGGTAGGTAGGTAGATAGATAGATAGATAGATAGATAGATAGATAGATAGATAGATAGATAGATAGATGATAGATGATAGATAGATAGATAGATAGATAGATAGATAGATAGATAGATAGATAGATAGATAGATAGATGATAGATAGATGATGATAGATAGATAGATAGATAGATAGATAGAAGGTAGGTAGGTAGATAGGTAGATAGATAGATTAGATAGATAGATAGATAGATAGATAGATAGATAGATAGATAGATAGATAGATAGATAGATAGATAGATAGATAGATAGATAGATGATAGGTAGGTAGATAGATAGGTGATAGATGGATGAATGATTGATAGACGAAATAAATAGATAGATAGATGAGAGAGAGATGATAGACAGATGATAGATAGATAGGATAGATAGATAGATAGACAGACAGACAGAAGACAGATGGACAGACAGACAGATAGATAGAAATAGATAGATTTGGGCTTTTCCCAGGGAGGGGCTCATGTGCTTTGTAGTCTTGCCAGAGATCCTCCAGGGGTGTGTTCTCCTCTCTCTCTCCTCTGCAGTGGGAAGAGGTGAGCGGCTACGACGAGAACATGAACACCATCCGGACATACCAAGTGTGCAACGTCTTCGAATCCAGCCAGAACAACTGGCTACGGACCAAATACATCCGAAGGCGGGGCGCCCACCGGATCCACGTGGAGATGAAGTTCTCCGTCCGAGACTGCAGCAGCATCCCCAACGTGCCAGGATCTTGCAAGGAGACCTTCAACCTGTATTATTACGAGTCGGAATTCGACGCCGCCACTAAGAGCTTCCCCACCTGGATGGAAAACCCCTGGGCCAAGGTGGACACCATCGCGGCCGACGAGAGCTTCTCGCAGGTGGACCTGGGCGGGCGGGTGATGAAGATCAACACCGAGGTCCGCAGCTTCGGGCCCGTCTCCAAAAACGGATTTTATTTGGCCTTCCAAGATTACGGGGGTTGCATGTCTCTCATCGCCGTGCGCGTCTTTTACCGCAAGTGCCTGCGCATTATCCAGAACGGCGCCATCTTCCAGGAGACGCTGTCCGGAGCGGAGAGTACGTCTCTGGTGGCGGCCAGGGGCACCTGCATCCCCAACGCCGAAGAGGTGGACGTGCCGATCAAACTGTACTGCAACGGGGACGGCGAGTGGCTGGTGCCCATCGGGCGGTGCATGTGCAGATCCGGCTACGAGTCGGTGGAGAACGGCACCGTCTGCAGGGGTACGTGAGGCTCGCGGTGGCTTGGTTTCAACTTGGGGAGGGTCGGGAAGAGGGGGTTGTAAGTTGAGGACTTACCTCTACTGTACATACGCGTGGATACGCACGTCTGCGGATCAGGCGAACCTGTTTTTAAGGGATGCTTTAGGGCAGGGGTAGGCAACCTTGGCTCTTTTATGACTGGTGGACTTCAACTCCCAGAATTCCTGAGCCAGCCACGCTGAGGGGAAAGGGAGAGGTTTCCAAGCTGAGCCAGGAATTCTGGGAGTTGAAGTCCACGAGTCATAAAAGAGCTACGGTTGCCTACCCCTGCTTTAGGGCGTCTCCTGCTTGAGCAGGGGGTTCGACTAGAAGACCTCCAAGGTCCCTTCCAGTTCTTATTCTGATTGATTGATTGAAATGGCCTAGGGTCTCCTGCCTGAGCAGGGGGCTGGACTAGAAGACCTCCAAGGTCCCTTCCAGCTCCATTCTGATTGGTTGGTTGGTTGGTTGGTTGATTGATTGATTGATTGATTGATTGATTGATTGATCGATTGATTGAAATGGTCTAGGGTCTCCTGCTTGAGCAGGGGGTTGGACTAGAAGACCTCCAAGGTCCCTTCCAGTTCTTATTCTGATTGATTGATTGATTGAAATGGCCTAGGGTCTCCTGCCTGAGCAGGGGGTTGGACTAGAAGACCTCCAAGGTCCCTTCCAGCTCTATTCTGATTGGTTGGTTGATTGATTGATTGATTATCTGTACCTGGTTCTCCCGATTTAAGCTTAAATGGGATGTGTGAACCCACCCCAGTTTGACTCCTCTGTTTTTCTCAAATCAGCTCAGAGATTGTACATCTTTCTGGCGTATTTTGGAGGATTAAAAAAAAAAAATCACCATTTTTGGCAGGCTTTTTAAGTGTTGCTCGCTCGTTAATTTTAGCACTGGGTTTAATTGATGTTTTTTTTTAAAAAAAATATGTGCAGGCCGGAAACTTCGCGTTTTTCTCCTCGTCGAGTGTGGAAAACCGAATTTCAGCCTCAATTCTCCAACTTGGGCTCTGCTTTTATAGCACCTAGAAAATTACCTCCGTTTTGCTAAGCCTTTTTCCCTGCCTCCCCCCCAAAAAACCCCAGGCTTGTGTGTGTGTGTGGGGGTGCAGGATTGAGAAAAAGGAGGAATAAAACCTAATTAAAAGCAGATTCTGTAAATCCGCAGAGCTTCGTTGTCCATTTCGAGCGGTGGAAGAAGAATTTTCCAAGGAAAGGATCTTGTAAAATTCCAATCCGTTCCGGTTCTGGAAGATTTATATTCCAAAAGTTTGTGGGTTCCCCGTCTCTCTGTGTGTGTGTGTGAGTGTGCATACGCGTGGTGTGCAGGGTGCCACCCTCCCTCCCTCCCTCTGCCAACCCCCCCCAGGCTGCTGAATGTGATGCTGGCGCAGGCGCGTTGGGGTCCCTGCCGGGCGAGATCCAGCTCCTTTAATTAAAGACAATTATTGCTTTCAGACGCCTCTCTTTGGCTGAGCAGCCTTGTTTGCAAACAGACAGCTGTGGGGGCTTTTGTGTCCTTGGCACAACGGCCCCCTCCCTCCCTCCCTCCCTCGCCCTCCCTGCCAAGCGGCACAGATTGGCTTCTGTTACCGGCACCCTCCTGGAAGCAGCCGGCCAGGGTGCCAGTCTGCAAGAGGGAAGGCGTGGGATGGGCAGGGGTCTGCAAAAGACCATTCCGCCCTTTTCCCACCCGCCCCCTTTGTTGGGACAAAGTGTGGGAGGGGGGGGATGCTGCACCCCCTTTCCGGAGGAACCCCGAGGGAACCAGGTTGCTAGCTCCAAGAGAGAGGGGCAGGGAGAGAGAGTGAGGGAGAAAGAGAGAGAGGGAGAGAGAGGGAGGGAGAAAGAGAAAAAGAAAAGGTGAGAGAGAGAAGGAGAGGGAGAGAAAGAGAGAGAGGGAGGGAAAAAGAGAGAGAAGGGGAGGGAGAGGGAGGGAGAAAGAGGGAGAGAGGGAGGGAGAAAGAGAGAGGGAGAGAAAGGGAGAGAGAGGGGGAGGGAGAAAGAGAGGGAGAGAGAGAGGGAGGGAGAAAGAGAGGAAGAGAAAGGGAGAGAGAGAGAGGGAGGGAGAAAGAGAGAAGGGGAGGGAGAGAGAAGGAGAGGGAGAGAAAGGGAGAGAGAGGGAGGGAGAAAGAGAGAAAGAGGGAGGGAGGGAGGGAGAAAGAGAGAGGGAGAGAGAGAGAGGGAGGGAGAAAGAGAAAAAGAAAAGGTGAGAGAGAATGAGAGGGAGAGAAAGGGAGAGAGAGGGAGAGAGAAAGGGGGAGAAAGAGAGAGAAGGAGAGAGAAGGAGGGAGGGAGAAAGAGAGAGAGAGAGAGAAAGAGGGAGGAAGACCAAGATTGAAATGCAAAGCACAGAGAAAGATTTATTTATTTTTTACTATTTTTCGCTATTTTCAGTGATGCTGTAACTTCGAACATTCACGAAACGAACTGTCGTAAGTTGGGGGACTCTCCCTGCATTTGGGTTAGTTCTGAGTTCAGGATACTCTGCAGAGCCGAAAAAGGGGTTAACGGGTTGTCTCCTCCCAGCTTTAATCTCCAAAGCCAGTGAAAAAATGACAAGGAGGTGAGGCATCAGCCAGGCAGTTGTTGGAAGGCAGTTACGGCAACCACAAAAATCCACAAAGTAAATCCAAGGAATGACTCACAAATAAATGTTCCGAGAACTGGAATTAGAGAAGAGAGAGAGAGAGGGAGAGAGGGAGGGAGGGAGGGAGAGAGAGAGAGAGAGAGAGAGAGAGAGAGAGAGAGAGAAAAGAAGAAGAAGAAGAAGAAGAAGAAGAAGAAGAAGAAGAAGAAGAAGAAGAAGAAGAAGAAGAAGAAGAAGAAGAAGAAGAAGAGGAAAAAGAAGAAGAAGAAGAAGAAGAAGAAGAAGAAGAAAGAAAGAAACAAAGAAAGAGAGAGAGAGAGAGAGAGAGAGAGAGAAGAATGGAAAGAAAGAAGAAAAAGGAAGGAAGGATAGAAGGAAGGAAGGGAGGAAGGAAGAAAAAGGAAGGAAGGAAGGAAGGAAGGAAAGAAGGAAGGAAGGAAGGAAGGAAGGAAAGAAGAAAGGAAGGAAGGAAGAAAAAGGAAGGAAGGAAAGAAGAAAAAGGAAGGAAGGAAGAGAGTCTTCAAGAGTTTTCTCCAACAACCCAAAGTTGGAGAAGTTCAAAGGCATCGATGTTCTTCCTCTCGTGCTCCTTCAAAGTCCAACTTTTGAGGGTCTCAGGGGAGACCCTGGCTTGTCCAATTCTGAACTTTGGAGATGTGGACACCTCTCAACATCTGGGTATCTTCTCCAAGGACTCCAGAGCTGCTTTTCCACCGCTTGAGCCTTGACTGTTGATGCTCGGTCCCAAAAGGCACATGGGTGTCCAACTCCTTTTTTCTTTCAGAGGATCAAACTACGTTTCTCTTTCAGAGGATCAAACTACGTTTCTCTTTCAGAGGATCAAACTACGTTTCTCTTTCAGAGGATCAAACTACGTTTCTCTTTCAGAGGATGTCAAGCTATGCTTCTCATTCAGGAGGGGGGGGTCAAGCTACGTTTCTCCTTGCGAGGGGCTCAAGCTACTTTCCTCTTTTCCCCCCCACTCTTTTGGGGACGAAGTGGCCCCAGAATCCTGCATGCATCCCATACGCCCGCCCGGTGCACACAAAGCAATCGGGAGTTTACGGGCCTCCAAAGCCGGACCCTTAACCCTGATTGGCTAGGCCAGGGATGAGCAGGTTGCTCCCATGGTCCCAGAGAGGACCCCCTCCCCTCCCCTCCCCTGTCTGGGGGAGGGGAGATGAAAAGCTTTGCAAAGCTCCTGACTGAGGGCGAGATTGGGGCTTTTGTCTGGATTTTTTTTCTTTTTCTTTTTCTTTTTTTTTTTTGCAACCGCGGTGGCTTTGCTTGCAAAGCCCCAGTTGGGCTCCGAGCCCGTTGCCATGGAAACCGCTTTCGGCAGCTGGAAGCCGTGCCCGGCTGGCGTGGCTGGCTGGCGTGGCTGGCTGGCTGGCTGCAGTTCCCGCGGCCGAGGATCAATCAATCGATCCATCAGAATAAGAGCTGGAAGAGACCGCGGACGTCTTCATGCAGGAGACCCTACTAGACCATTTCAATCAATCAATCAGTGGAAGGGACCTCGGGGGTCTTCTAGTCCAACCCCCTGCTTGAGCAGGAGACCCTAGACCATTTCAATCAATCAATCAATCAATCAGAATAGAGCTGGAAGGGACCTCGGGGGTCTTCTAGTCCAACCCCCTGCTTGAGCAGGAGACCCTAGACCATTTCAATCAATCAATCAATCAATCAATCAGAACAGAGCTGGAAGGGACCTCGGAGGTCTTCTAGTCCATCCCCCTGCTCAAGCAGGAGACCCTAGACCATTTCAATCAATCAATCAATCAATCAATCAATCAGAATAGAGCTGGAAGGGACCTCGGGGGTCTTCTAGTCCAACCCCCTGCTTGAGCAGGAGACCCTAGACCATTTCAATCAATCAATCAATCAATCAATCAATCAATCAGTGGAAGGGACCTTGGAGGTCTTCTAGTCCTGACCAGATAAGTTAATTCTACTTTATTGTAAGAACATAGAACCATAAGGCTGGAGGGGACCTGGGAGGTCTTCTAGTCTAACCCCCTGCTCAGGTAGGAGACCCTAGACCATTTCAGACAAATGATTGTCCAATCTCTTCTTCAAAGCCTCCAGTGATGGAGCACCCACAGCTTCTGGTGGGAAGCAGTTCCACCGGTTAATTGTCCTCACTGTCAGGAAGTTTCTCCTTAATTCCAGGTTGCTTCTCTCCTTGATGAGTTTCCATCCGTTGCTTCGTGTCCTTCCATCTGGTGCTTTGGAGAATAGGTGGACCCCCCCCCTCTTCTTTGGGGCAGCCCCTCCAATGCTGGGAGACTGCTATCCTGTCCCCCCCCCACATCCCTCTTTCCTCTAGGCTGGCTGATGGCGAGAGCCCCATCCCAACCCTGGATGAAACCTGCCCTCTGCAGCTGAGCAGCTGGGCCGGAGAAGGCGAGGGATTTCTGGAGCCATCCAAATCCCCCTCCCGGTGTCCAATTTCAGTGGGGGTCCTCAGCCCGCCCCCCTTGCAAGGATTAAGACGGATCCAAGAGGAAATAAAACAAAATAAAATTTAAATTGGCAAGCTGAGCTGGATTAAGCAAGACAGGGAGGATTTCTCCCCCAAATCTAATTTTGCTTTTCTCATTAGCATGTCGAAAGCGCCAGGCGACGGGAATTCTAGCAAGTGCGGGGGCGGGGAGGGGAAGAGAGGCGTCTTCTCCCTGCTGGTAGAAAGCTAGCCGAGAAGGGATTGGCCTTTCCCCCCGCCCCAAGACTTGCCAAGTTGATGGTACGGGTAATCCTCGACGTGCGAGCCCAATGGAGGCCAAAATTCCAGTCGCTAAGCGAGACGGTCGTTTAAGCGAGTTTTGATCCATTGGACGACCGACCTTCCTTCCTTAAGTGAATCCCTGTGTTGGTAATTTAGTCACATGGTTGCAATAATAATAAGAAGAAGAAGAAGGAGAAGGAGGAGGAGGAGGAGGAGAAGGAGAAGGAGAAGGAGAAGGAGAAGAAGAAGGAGAAGAAGAAGAAGAAGAAGAAGAAGAAGAAGAAGAAGAAGAAGAAGAAGAAGAAGAAGAAGAAGAAGAAGAAGAGGAGGAGGAAGGAGGAGAAGGAGGAGAAGGAGGAGGAGGAGAAGAAGGAGAAGAAGAAGAAGAAGAAGAAGAAGAAGAAGAAGAAGAAGAAGAAGAAGAAGAAGAAAGAAGAAGAAGAAGAAGAAGAAGAAGAAGAAGTTGGAAGGGACCTTGGTGGTCATCTAGCCCAACCCCCTGCCCAGGCAGGAAACCCTAGACCATTTCAGACAAAGGGCTGTCCAGCTTCTGTCCAGTCAGTCTTGCCTCCTCAAGAGTCTTCTTGAGGAAATCAGGAAAGGCTCCCTTAACCGTCTCGCTTAGTGACCGAAATTCTTATGCCGATGACGGTCGTAAGTGGAGGACCACCTATAAAACTTGCTTCAAAGAGGGGGCGGGGTCAGGGGGCTTGCACCCCTACGAGAACTCAAAGCCTCTTTTCCAAGCCGTCCCCCCCCCCGCCGCTACCCTTCCCCACCCCCTCCCCCCGCCCCTCCCGGGTTAATTTCCCCAACAAAAAATGGCTCCTATTTCCACAAAGCGCCGGGAAGTGACATTAACAAGCAGCTAATTAGCGCGGCCGATTTTTGACAAGCCCGGTGGCAGAGCCTCTAATTAGTCTCGCGTTCTGTTTTAATCAACGGCCTCCGTCACGCTTTTAATTTAATTTCTGGATCAAAATGCCAAGCGCGGTTCGGGCAGGCTGGGAAGAGAGGTCAACGGGGTCCCTCGGCCAACTCTCCGTTCTCTCCCGGACCTTTTCGGATGTTCCCGTCCCTTTTAGCGACATGCCGCGGTCGCAATTTTTTTTGTGGGGGGGGGGAAATCCAGGCTGCCTTGACTCAGGCTTCCTCGCCGGCACACAACTCAACAACCACAACAGAATCAGAACACGGATCTAATTTAGGGAGGATGGAACTGGTCCTCCACTTACGACGGTTCGTTTAGTGACCTTCCGAAGTTACAACGGCACTGAAAAAAGGGACACAGGACCAGTTTTCACGCTTGACCGCTGATTCACATTTACGACGGTCGCAGCGTCCCGGGGGTTGTGCGATTCCCCTTTTGCGAGCTTCCGACACGCAGAGTCAATGGAGGAAGCCGGATTGACTTAGTAACCGTGTTCCTGGCTTAAGAACTGCAGTGATTCACTTAACAACGGTGGTGAGAAAGGTTGTAATCTGGGGCAAAAGGAATCCCTGGTGCTCTCTGAGCTTGGTTGTTTCCTTGCAGACGTCTCATGACCCAACTAGGGAACATCATCAGGGCTAGAAGGGAGTGGGGTTTGCAGAGAGGAGGAGGAGGAGGAGGAGGAGGAGGAGGAGGAGGAGGAGGAGGAGGAGGA